TCCAGTGTCTAATCACCCTTTCTGTAAATAAATTCTTCCTAATGTCTGATCTAAACGTCCCCTGGTGGAGCTTAAAACTGTGTCCTCTTGCTCTGTCACTTGTTACCTGGGAGAAGAGGCTGATCACCACCTGCCTACAGTGTCCTGTCGGGTGGTTGTAGACAGTGGTATACGACTGCCACTGGCCCAAAAACCCTCCCAAAAGTCTCAAGTCAGGGAATTTCACAAAATTCCGTTTATTGCCAAATAACATTAAGTTCATTTATTGATGATTGATTGATTCCCATTTCTACTGAGAAATAAAGACAAACAATTGAACAAGTATTTAGGGAAGTACCTCTTGGCTTCGTTCCAGACACATCTCTCCCTTTTGCTGGTCCCCAGCTCCCTCGTAGCACATGGTCCCTGTGGAGAGGTGTTGGGAAGGGGATGGGTGTCAGTGCATTGTGACTCTTTGCTGCTCCTCATTTCTTACTCAGCATTTCCCTGTTGGCTGTAGTCCCTTCAGGCTGTACCTCCTCCTCTCTCATTTGCACAGCCACCCTGCTCAGGTGGATCCTCTCTCCTTAGCTGTTTTTCTCCTGGTCTGTTGGATGGTGGAGATGTTCTGTTTGTGTCACTTTAATGAAAAAAATCTAACAGTAAAAACAACTTAGTGAAGGTGCACAGAATACTGCATTAACCTCCTTGGTGCCTTGCAGCTGAGTGCCTGTGTGACCCTTGGTTTCAGCAGTGCCAGAAGGAGCTGGGCAAGTTTTATGTGCCTTCAAGCAGTGCATCTGTGATGATGTGCCACAGCAAAGGGCATTAGTAAAGCAGCCACGACAGACTCAGAGCCTGGGGCTTTTACAGAGGTTGCAAAGAGGTTGCATGAAGTGGCACATGAGGGCCACTGAAGGCCTCAGGTTGAACTCTGATGCTGTGCCACCCTGTTTATGGTATCATTGCCATCAAGCTGTTTGGTGACTATGTTTTAATATTGGTATCTGGGCATTTTTGGACAAAGAAAACCAAGCAAAGCATATTACAAATGAAGGAAGTGTCTTTCAGTGTTACTTAGAGTATTTCTTTCCATCTTCCCCAGACTGCCTTTTCAAGGTGTGTCCCATGAACCGGTATTCAGCCCAGAAGCAGTACTGGAAAGCCAAGCAAGCCAAACAAGGAAACCACACTGAAGCAGCACTGCTGAAGAAACTTCAAGTAAGAGACATCTGTGTTTGTAATCTTATCTCAATCTGCAGGCTGTAGAATTACAATAGCCTGAGAAAGAATAATAATAAGTACCTTGGGAACCACTGTGATGAGTATTATGCCACCACAGCAACTCTGTATTCTCCTACCTCCTGACTGGCATTTACTGCCCCAGCCTGGTTTTTACCTTGCTTTGGGTTGGGGGTTGTGCCTTTGCTATAAGCAAGGTACTGCTTTCAGAAGTTTCATAAAGTAGGAATGGAGTTGTTAAAATCAGGACTGGGCCCTGGTTTAAATCATGCTGTTGTTTTAGGAGTTAGGCAGAGGAGTGGACAAAGATAGTCTCAATGCTTTAGTTTGGAAATTCCTCAGAATTGTGGTTGTCCTTGTTTTCAGTCTGGGTGATCTTTTTTCTGCACCATTTTGCGGATTCTGTTTTGCCTCAAATACAGTGTGGATGGAGCAACTCTTCTGTCTCCAAAAAAGAACTGTCCTGATGTTACAATATTCTGGCTACATAAGACTAAGTGAAAACAAGATCATATCAACCTGGTGGAGAATTTCATGGACAGTGGAGAAGCCACCAGTGCCTCCAGTTAAAAACAGCAAGGAAGGCACTCAGTGTGTGGCTAGAGCTAGGAGCTGGCAGATTGGTTGTTTGACTCCAACTGTTGTGCTTAGCATTGATGTTACAGTACGTGGCCTAGGAGTTTTGTTTTGTTATAGATGAAGCCAATGCCTTTGTATGCAATTAAAGACCCAACAAGTAAAAGGAATGGTGACAGTGAAAAGCTTATCATAGGTCCTTAACTTTTTTTCCATCTTATTGGATGTAATAAAGCACCTGGAATTACTTTATGTGCTTAAAATTTTTTTAAATATCATGTATCTCAGGTGTGATATGTAAATTGTGTCTGAATTTTTGTTCTGGATTGTTAAAAAACCAGAATCAGCATCAGGATTTGGGTGCTAGTGTTTTCAGTGCAGTGGTGCTTGCAGGTTGCAGGAAGTGTTCTAAATGTGATGCCATTTCCTTTTTACATGGTCTGTTTCAGTAGCTGAATACAGGTACTGATTTCATGGACTTTAAAGAGATAATCATTCTCTTGCAGCATGCAGCAGAACTGGAACAGAAGCAGAATGAAAGTGAGAACAGAAAGCTGTTGGGTGAAATTGTGAAATACAGCAATGTCATACAGGTAAACCTATGGAAATCCATCTGCCTTCTCTCAGCGCTGGAAAGGAAACAGTTGTTTCATTTCAAGGTTACAGTGAAAATGAAACTAACCACTAATCTGGGTTGTCAAGGGTCAAGTAAACATAACTTGGTGAAGTTTACAATAATAGTTTTTTCTGTCTGTTTTAAAGCCTACCAGAAGTGCTGCATATTCACGTTTAAATAATGTCATAATAAAAATTCTATGCGTAATTTTCGGTGCTGTGGTTTAGAATCTGAATGTAAATATGTCTTTTATTTTCAAGATTTATTTCAAAATCATACTGAAGAGGTGCTCCACAGCTCCTTTTAAATCACTGAAGTAATTTGTACTTCATGACATATAAATCAGACAGAAGCTATGTGCTTAAGTGCAGTACAACTTCCCTGTAGTGGGTAAAATTCCCAAAGGTAACACTGTAATGGACCCTTGCCCTCCTGTACTGTGTATGCTGTAAAACTGATCACTGGCACATTTCTCTCAGTCCGAGATATAGCATCTGTTTTCCTGAACTGTAGCATACTTTGATCACTCTCTTTCAGTTTTGTCTTTATATATGTTATGAAAAATCACTACGGTGTGCAAACCTATGTCTCTTTTTTTGTCTGAAGTCAGAAAAAGCAACAGCTCTACTATTTTTTTTTAATTATTATTTATTCACAGCTACTGCACATAAAAAGTAACAAGTACCTCACAGTCAATAAGAGACTGCCAGCTCTGCTGGAGAAGAATGCCATGCGGGTGTCTCTGGATGCTGCAGGGAATGAGGGATCCTGGTTTTATATCCAGCCCTTCTGGAAACTGAGGAGTGAAGGAGACAATGTAAGTGGAAATACTGAATGTGTAATAGGGAGAAAGCAGAAAATTTCCAGGAGACACATGATTTCTTTGCTGCTGGCCAATTTCATAGTGGACTAAGTTTAGAAAAAAAATAATTTTTAACTGTGCTTGGGACTATTAGCTTTCATGTGTAACTAGAAGGTGTTACCAGATCATATGGTCTGGAGTCTGAGATGTTGCCACAGTCATCTGAGCCACTGCTGACCTGTGTGGGCCATCTTTGGTAAGTCCACTCGTTGTGTGCAGACTTAAAAAGCTGATAATACATCATTATTTTTCTTTTAAAATAAGATGCTTAATGATGTGCTGTCTTACTAATTAAGTTGTGATAGTCAGGGTGTACATGCAATAATTTTGAAGTCCTGATTCCACTTTACAGGATGCAAAGCTGATGGTATTTTGGTTAATGAATTGTCTGGTCATAACTTCTTAAAATGGGCTGTAAGTAATGTCTGTGTGAATCATGGCATGCAGGAATGGATTGCATAAATAATGTATCTTAAAGGCATCTTGTAGTTATTTTGGTTCTGTTAGTCAACTTTGTTCTCATCACTTGGATCGAGTAGGATTTCTGTGTGCAGTCTGAGCATGAAGACACTGTCTTATGGTATTGTTTATTTCAGCTGTGTTGGTAAAGAACAGTCAACCTTCCTTTTAACTTCTGCGATAAGTGAGCCAAACTCACCTGCTTTGAAGTTAAGGGAAGCTGAATTTGGCTCTGCTTTTATAGGAAATGTGCTGATTGATGCAGAAAGTTTTTTGTTTTGTCTTCCAAAAGAAAGCATGGCTTGTGCAGCATTTCGTATAGTAAAAAAATCACTTGTAGCCACTTGTCTCCATGTCTGTGTGTGCTTAAAACTGCTGTGAACATAAGCAACTCAGGACCCAATGCCAACCAATCTGTGTGGATTGATATATTTTTATTAATTTTCCACCCCCTTCCAGGCATGAATTGAGTTCTCCATGTGCATGTCTCAAGTAGTTTTTTAAGTCAAAGGAATTTTCTTATATAGTTTTTCCCTGTCTATATAGGTAAAGAATTGCAAGGGCATGGGAATTTGCTTGCAGGGAGTGAGCTAGGAATTCCTCTCAGAGAGAGAAGGTCTCTCAGCTGATGCACCTGCTGTGTGTGCTGAGCCCCAAACATCATAGAGGGAATAACAGCAGAGGGGATGGAGTGTGACCTCCTCTCCCTGAATTTCCAGTGATTTATGTTCCTTTCTATATTGCACTAACACAGTCTAAATTGCAGAACTCCTGAGCCTGTCATGGTATTTGCCAGAAGATGGTCCACAGAGCTGCAGAGCCACAATTACTGCCAGCCAAAAACTTAGAAAGTATATATGGGATCAGGAGTAGTTAATGGAACTTTTAGATGAACTGAACTGCTCTTGGAATTCACAGCTTCACATCTATTTCATGGTCTTGACTTTCTGCTGAACTGGGTGACATGCTTACTAGGAATGTGAGGATTCACTAGTGGGAAATCTTGAACCCACGGGATTGCTGAGCATGGGTGAACAGAGCTGCTGTGTGAATTGTCTGCAAAAAAATTCACTGAGTGCCATTCTAGAGCATGCATTTGAGTAATTTTCTAAAAATGTAATATTACTTGCTCTTATTGGATAATTACATAGGCCTAAATTGCACTTTATTTCTGACTTCCAGGTTGTTGTGGGAGATAAAGTTGTTCTCATGCCAGTCAATGCAGGACAGCCTCTGCATGCCAGCAATATTGAGCTTCTAGATAACCCTGGCTGCAAAGAGGTGAGTTCAGCGGAGGGAGGAGGGGTAACTGCTGATCTGAGATGTTTTACAGAAAGACTGGGAGAATTGGGATTGTTCATCCTGGAGAAGAGAAGGCTTTGGGGTGACCTAATTGCAGCCTTCCAGTACCTGAAGAGAGTCTACAGGAAAGATGGAGAGCCTATGTACAAGGGCCTGGACTGACAGGACTAGGGGAAATGGTTTAAAACTGATTGGATATTAGGAAAAAAATTCTTTCCTGTGAGGGTGGTGAGACACTGACACAGGTTGCCCAGAGAAGCTGTGGCTGCCCCATCCCTGGAAGTGTTCAAGGCCAGGCTGGATGGAGCTCTGAGCACTCTGATCTAGTGGGAGGTGTCTCTGCCCATGGCAGCCCCTGCCATGTTAGAACTAGATTATCCTTAAGGTCCCTTCCAACCCAAAGCATTTTGTGATTCTATGTTATGTTGTTCTTTACTGGTAACCAGAACCCACCGTGAGCCCACCATGGGCTAGATGCCAGTATTAACATTGGTTCCAGCTTGGCCCTAGAAAAACAAGATGAAATATTGTTGGTGCGGTTCTGCCTGGCACTGAAAGCTTTGCGAGGTTTGCTTGAGTATCTCAAACTCTCACTGATGTAAGAGTAAGTCCTTGTCCAGCATCTCTTTAGGGTTTTTTTGGTAGGCTGTCAGCAGACAGAGTAGCATTTTGCCCACTCAATCTTCTTCAACATCAACATCATTAATGCTTGAGAGCTTCAGGACCCATGTTAGGAACTGTAAAAATATGTAGCTAAGCCATGTCCCCTTTCACCCTAGGTTTGGTCTGGTCTTTCAGAAGAATAGAATGTCTCAAAAAGAAAAGAACATCCCCTAAAACTATAATTGGGGTTTTGTGTTTGTTTTGTTTTCTGAAGGTAAATGCTGTCAACTGTAACACAAGCTGGAAAATAACTTTGTTCATGAAATTCAGTAGTTATCGAGATGATGTGCTGAAAGGAGTAAGTATGATTTTAAAATTTCTTTTTTTTAATCTGAAGAATCATACTATATTTGACTGTGGAGAAATATGACATGCTAAAGAAAAGGAGAAATGAGGACTTTGTGGAGCTGGTTTGGTTCCCTCAGTACTGCCCTTCAACAGCCAGAATATTTTTCTTTTGTGCTATTGTCTTACTATATGAAATTGTCTGGATTGTGCTAGCTTCCAGCTTCTTTTGCCTCCCATGGAAACTGAGGAGCTATGAGAAAAGATTAATTTCAAGTCCAGAATGATGAGGGCTCTGTACAGAATGGCTGTGACACTTCAGTTTATGCCAAGATGTTTGAAGTCATATAACAGGCACACAGAAAGGAGTGAGGCATGAAAGATGGCAATTGCTGTAATAAGACAATGTAGCTTGAAATGCTGAGGTATTGTACAGTTTCATGTCTATAGATCAATCCCTGTGATCATTTACATTTTCAGGAAATAAATTTAATTTGTCCTCACTTGTTCCTTAATAAGTCATTATCAACTGGCTACTTTTCAGTTATCAAGGTATCAGCAGTTTATGAGGAAGAACTTGATGGGGAAAATGGTATATTTGTGTAGACCCATTTAGGGATAGTGTTTCAAGCCTTGGGGAGAGGCAGAAGGAAGCAAAAATGATTCCAGGAAAAGAAATAGAGAGAGGTCATTGATATTGGTTCAGAGTAGAAGAGATGAGATAATATGATCTAATAAAAACCTCTGCACTTTCCCTAAATAACAAGAGAGATTAGAAATAACAAAACCAATTTAGTAACGTTAACTGGAATTAAAAATCACGTTTAGGTTAATTGTTGCTCATTATTCATTGTAGTGCTCTGAAACAAGTTCTGTATTTACAAAAGTGCTGTAGGAGCGACCTGTCTCATTTGTTTTCCAGGCTCAGTGCTGAGATTGTATGCCCTGTGTTTGGTATTTGCTCCAGCAATAGGAAACTAATAAGTGTTTTCTTCCCATCAGCTCTGTTGGCATCACTGGAGCTAGTACAGATACAGAAAATGAGTCTAGCAGCTTTGCCTACCACTTAATAATGCTTCTTATTCATATTACTTTAGGGAGATGTTGTTAGGCTGTTTCATGCAGAGCAAGAGAAGTTTCTGACCTGTGATGAATATGAGAAGAAACAACATATTTTCCTCCGTACTACATTGCGTCAGTCAGCCACTTCTGCAACAAGTTCTAAAGCACTGTGGGAAATAGAGGTATTTTTTTCTCTTTTTATAAATATTTCAGAACTTGAAGGGCAGGGTTCAGTAAAAAGACTTTACCACAACATGAGTCATTCATAGCCTTTCGATATCATCACACACCTCCCTGTAACTATTATTATTTTATGAAGCAGTTTGTGTAGGATGAGCCCTGAAGAGATGTTTCATTGCAGTGCATGTGTGGAGAGAGGGGGCCTTCTTACTATATTTACCTACACTAAAATGAGGAAGAGTCAAATTTAATTTGGACTTGACGTAAATGGTGTGATTTTATCAAAGCCAATTGAATGACACTCGTCTATCCTGAGTTTTGAGTGTTTACATTTCACTTCATGTGAAATACAGAAAATGGAAATCCATGACTGACAAGAAACCTTACAACTGTCATTGAGTCCATTCTTCTCCTACGTAACACATCAACATCTGTTTAAAGTTAGCCTGAGTAAAAGTGGTGGGTGTGAATGGAGGTGATTTTGAGAAGACAACTAACAAATATATTTTTGTTTAAGTGAGGAAACATTGGAAATTGGGATGTCTTAAATCCTTGCAATTACAGTAATGTAACTCCTGTACCCAAAAGTTCTTGTGTGACAAACAAACTTTGTGTGTTTAAAACAGAGTCCTCAGGCAAATGGTTGATTTTTTTGTCTGGTTAAGGTCTGTCTGGAATAGAGTGGAATAGAGTGTGTTGCACTTGTAGTTATTGGAGATTACTCCTTGAAAGAGACAGGCACTGCTAGCTTTGAAGAAAGCACATGTCCTACAGCTCAGTCAAGGCAGAAAAGAAATAACCTGGGATATTTCAAATGATATGGGGATATTTTATCACTTGAATGATTATTTTTTTTCAGAATTCACTAGCATTGTCAGAAACAGAGCTGATATAATTGGTGAAATATTCTAAGATGGTTTGTGTTTTGCTTTTAAGTAGTGTAGAACAGCTACACTTACTTTCTTGAGCTCCAGATTCACACCATGTCATTTTAAAGCAAAATTTAGCTCATCATGTTTGCAGGGAGTAGGTTAATGAAAGCATGGAAAATAATAGGAGAAGTATTTCCTGGCACCTGGCAAAAAATAAATGTTAGTAGCTGTTATCTATGGTGAGCTTAGTGTAAGCACAGAATTCCTCTCTGTGGCAGACTGTTTGTAATGATGTAGTTTACATATTTTCATTTGGAATGAACTTTAAGAAATGTCAGTGATCTAAGTATGACTTGGAGGAGCATGTTTGAAATCTGTACTTCTTTTTTTCAGGTTGTCCATCATGACCCTTGTCGGGGAGGAGCAGGACAGTGGAATAGCTTGTTTAGATTTAAGCATTTGGCAACTGGAAACTACTTAGCTGCAGAGGTAAGAATATCGAGTAAACACGTGTTTGTGTGCTGCCTAACCAAGTCCTGCTAATTCAGAACTGCCATCATAGGTAGATCTTCGCTGTGGATCTCCAAAAAGATCTCACATCAAGTCTGAATGGAGAGAACTGGATGTGCACTGCTGTGTCAGTGCTATGTTGCTGTAGCCAGGGGAAACAGCACTGTTAAAGACCCACCATATTTACACTGAAAATACTTGGATTCATTTATCTTTCTGTTCTTGTTTGTCCTTGATTCTTGGAGTAGTGATCAGTCAAATACTCTTTGCTGGCTCAGGCAGCAATATACAGAGTGAACCTTTTGGAGTGGAACTGAATGCAAGGTATTCATTGAGAGAAGTCTGCGTGCAAGCACTACAATAAATACCCTAACCTGCTCTAATTCAGGACATTGCCATGTCTTTTTTTCCCTGCAGACTCTATAGATTTCTTGAAAAAATGCTGCTGTGGTGCTGATTTCAGTGTATTGATCTCTGCCAGCCAGCATAGAGTCTAAGGCATCTCTGCATTCTGTAGGAACTTGAGGAAAAACAAACTCACATATTAGTGTCATGCTAGTTCATTGTGATTATAAGCCGGCTGCAGTATTCTGCTATTGCACTCTTGCCTTGTGACTAAATTTTGAAGAAAGAAAGGTCTGAGGAAATCTTTGCCCCTTTTGCTGGAACAGAAGGTCCAAGAGGAGAAGGAAGATCTTGGAACTTGTCTGGTTATTATCTGGTACTTTGTGTTAAGGCAAAATAGTATTTGTGAATCCCCAAAAGATCAGCTTAATATCTTTTAAGACCCATAGTTGTCCTTAAAAATAATATAAGGCTCTTGACAAGCTGGAATAGAGCAGATAATACCAAGTTTATGAAATGGTACAGCCTTTGATTTTTTTCCATGGTTGCAAGAAGCTGTGAACTTTTTAAGTCCTATCTAATCTGTATTAACACTGGTCTGTGTCTAAATTACATCAATGGAATGAAACGTAGGGGTTTTTCCACTGATTTAGTTAGGTCTATGCAGGATAACTTCTTTTGACTTAAGCTTTGAAGCATGAGTGTGAAAATTTGCTGCAAGAGCCAGTTTTTAATCACTGTATGTTAGGGAATCCCTGAAAAAAAGACTTGTGCTAACCAGTTTGAGTTTCATTTACAGCAGTGTAACTTCTGTATGCAGACAACTCCTTAGTATTCCCAGGGTGCTGCTTTTGTTTTCCAGCTCCAGTCACAGCCTGCATGGATTTCAGAGTAAGAGCAAACAAGAGCTATTAGACCTTTACTTATTTCTAATTATGTCAAAACCAATGTCAAAATGCAAACAGAGGATTGCCAGGAGAGACACTGATACTATTTCCCACCTAAGGCTGAATGTGATATGGTTCATAGGTTTTGATGCAGTGTAAGTTAGAAGCCTGAGAGGTCTGAGTGATGAAGAGCATCACCCCTTTAAAGGCAGTGGGCCAACATCCCTTAGCTGTGCTGCTCTGCAGTGCAGCCTCCATGCTGCAGCAATGCTATGGCTTGGCTGGAGCCAGCTGGCTTTTTGTGTTGGTAATATTGGCTAATAGTAGCTCATTTTCAAGAGGTAACCAGTTCTCCCACCTCTGACTGGGAGTATTTTCCTTTCTGCTTGCAGTGAGAGATGCTCCTAGTAGAAGGATTTTACTCAGACTAGCTAAGCTGATGGAGAGTGGGAAAAGCATCGAGTGCTCTGAGCTTCCTTCTTCCACCATATCAGGTGATCTGGCTCAGGGATTATCAGGAGAAAAATCTTCAGGTGAAGTGGTGCACACTACACTGAATGGTGAACCCGAGCTTAGGTCCTTTCTGTCTCTGGAAAGAAAATTCCCATCTGGAAGACTTGTAGTATGGAGAGTTCAATTGCAGAGTAGAGTGAGAGCTGGAAGAACTTTTGGGTTGAATAGAGGTGATATGCTGTGACCTGAGAGCAGCATTAGCGACTGTATCTGTGAAGTGTAAAATACCTGCTGGTGGAGATATTAAAGGTACTGCTGTAATAAAAATCTGGGAACTGTATTTTACACAGTTCATATGTCAGGCACAACACACCAGCCAGCCAGACATGTCAAAGATTTATGAACAGGCAGGCAGACACCTAATGTGCGTGACCTAACTTTGAATCAATTGGGCAAAGCTTACTGAACACTTATCTGTGCTCCTGCAGCACAGGGAGATTACTCATGGTATAGATTATCATCAGCGTCACACATTGCCATGACCTGATTTTGTTTAAGCTTCCATGATAAAGATATCTAAAGTGGAATAATAAGTACAAACACAGGAACAAATTCACAAATCTTTTCAGCATTCTGTTGTTGGCTAGTGACACAACTTCCATCACAGTTTGAGCTGTTGTAAATCTGGGGTGATCACTGTTTATGACCATCTTTTTCTTGCTTGATCTTCCCTTAAATCAACTTGTTGTGTGCCATGGAGACTTCCACAGTGGAATCTCACGTGGGTCAAGTTTCAGACAATGAGCAGAAGTGTCCTTCACCTGGTGTCTCTGTTTGCTCCTCTGCAGTTAGGCTCGTACCTTGTGTGAGTAGTGCTCTGCCTTCTCTTCTCCTGTGAGACTTCCTGTGCCAGATGTAGCTGGTCAGTCTGGTTTGGGGCTTGGTGGGTCACTGCTGAGCCAGGTTGTGAAGGGATGCCACTGCAGCTTGTTATGGCTAGGGGATGATATGGGGAGAAGAAAATTGAAGACTATTTCCCTCAGAGAATTCAGGAATTTAAAACTGATGAAAAACAAAAAAGGTAAGGCAATAGACTTGTTCAATAAACAAAACATATAGGTGAGTACTTATAAAAATCTAATTCTTATAAGCTTGAGAGAATGAAGTCAGGATATGTAAATTGTAAATTCCATGCTCCTTAGAATTACAATCAGTTGTCCAACTTTTGTTGCCCTTCAAAGACCTCTGATACCTCTGACTTCTGACACAGTCCCAAGTAGTAGCATTTCCTTTAATCCTCTTTCCACTTGACATTATTTAGCCTAATTTTAATTACTATGCTTTGAAGTTCTTTAAGATTTACTAATACCTTAAAGGAACATATGCCCTTCTACCAGACTCTAGGCTGAAGGTGAGCCATCCTGGAAGAGCCACTGCTAAAGGAGTCACAGTGGAAGACATTTGGCAACGGCACATAGCTGCATTGTTGTTGTGCATGTCCTGGGGACATGGTCTGACACATCAGATGCAATATATGCTCTCACACAGTTACTAAGACACAGAAGGGATATGCTGAACAAAAAGTTTCATATTTGGTGGTAAGAGCTGGGACACTGGAAATCTGCTTATGTGGTAATGATGTCTGACATGTGGAAACCTTAAGCCACAGACTCAGACATTCCCAAGAAAGTAGAATCAAATACTCAGCTGAAAAATTAGAAAGAGAAATTGTCTTTTTTGGAGACAGTAGGAGTTCTGCTGTCAGTGTCAGAAGGGCTTGATTTCACCCAAAAAGAGCTGAGCTAGATCTTTAGCAGGAGATTTAGACACTAAGCTACCAGCTAAGATCCAGGCTGCTGAGTTTTATTCTCATCTTCACAGAATCAGCAGACTTTTAGAAGAAGTTCTGTAGAAGATTCTTTTTTTAGCTCTGGTTACAGCAAAATGACCCAAGTTATTTCAAAGCTTTATATTTATAAAGAGGGGCCGCAAAATTAGGTGAAAACTGAATGTTTCAAAGTAACAAAGATTTTCCCAAAAGTCTTTTCTGTGCATGTACCACGTGTAGAATGCACCCAAATCCGTGTGTGTGAGCTGCAGTTTACTTGAACAGCCTTTCAGATGCTGCAGGTTGAGGCCACACAGCTGTGCCTTTCTCAGGAACACACGTAACATTTTCAATATTCTAATCACCGAGATAAAAGTCTCTTTGAACTGAATATCAGCTTATCAATGGTGCTGAACCAAAACATGCACCTTTAATATTGTTCCCCATGTGATAGCAGCTCCAGTTCTGTGATTTCTAAACTGGATAATTTGTGCTGAAACTATTAACATTTGCTGCATGAGGCTGTTAAACAGAGATATGTGTGCCCACACATACATATATGGACACACAAGAGATGCAGAAAAAGTCTGTCATTTCACATTCAGCTTCTCAGGTGAGATGGATCTGGCTAAAATAATTACAAAATAAATATACGTGTACCAAATCACATATGTTGCTTCTAGACATTGTGAACATGTACATAATCACAGTGCAGAATTTCTAAGGGAAAAAATCTGTGATAATTCAGTTTCCTTAGTTGAACAGATCAGAGTTATTAGATACCTCGAAGGCCAAAACATAGCAGTAAATCTGGTGAGGTGATTAACACCAAATATATATATATAGCTATGCTCTACTAAGTGAATTAAGATAATGCAGACAAGATGACAGCCTGAGTGTTTACATTCTCTGCTTCTATAAAATTCTGGCTGCAAACAAAGGTTCAGACTATTACTGTGTCTTCCCAAGGCAATGCACAGAGTACTGATGTTGCTCCAAAAGGTAACCCGTGCCTTGATGTTCTTCTGGCTCAAAAAGAAGAGTGAGAACAGGCTGGACAGTGCGCTAGGTTGAGGCAATGAGCTCAGAGACAATGGCAGAACAAAACATTTTGTGACTCGTAGTGTACTTCATTCACCAAACCCAACTGTTGCTTGTACAAAGGCCTTCGTTCTGTAAATCTTCTGGGAGTAGGGTTGTCTTTGAAGTCAGTGGAGTGGAACATGAGTATTTATGTGCTCAGGGGTCAAGGGTGGCCCAGATGGGCTTGGGCATCCTCTAACAGTTCTCACTTGTGCAGTCACGCCTGGAAATCTTTGCCCATTTTTGGACTGAATCCTCCAAAACTGTCACTTTTAATTTTTACATGTGAATATACTTCATAAATGTCTTGTGCAAAATGATTGGGATGACACATATTCTAGTTAAGGACAAATCACATAGGAAAGCTGTCCACTGGTTGGCTG